TCTTAAAGCACTTTAATTGTGAGCTGAACGCTAAAAGAAGTAAGAAAGAACTAAGTGTGGGGTGACTTTTGAGTGAAACCAATAAAAGGAAGAAAGGTGCACTTGTTTTGTAGAATAATACACCACTAGCAGAAATTGGAAAAATTTGAAAATTTGAAAGAAGAAAAAAAAAAGAAGAATAATCTGAAAAAATAGAGATGAATACATTGTTGGCTTGTTCTTGCTAGTGGCGTATAAATTAAAGTGGTTCTTAAAGAAAGAGGGAACATTGTTGGGAGTGATTTTAGTTGTGAAATTGAAGTTGGGATTGAAGAATGTGCGCTCAGAGTGATTATGTGATGTGTTAAAGTGCTTAGGAGGGTGAACCACTATTCCTAAATATATCCTACCCGTCCCTTAGCCCACATTACAACCATGAAAAAGTCCTAATTGATTTTAGATCGAGTGAACCTACATTAGTAGAGATTTACATTAAGGGCAAGCTTATGGTACCAATTGCATGCATGTGACTTCTTTTGTGAGGGTGAGCGATTTTCTTTGATATATGTGAGCATGAGACTCAAATGTGTGGATTGATTTTATTCCCCTACTGTGATTGTGAGGGTATGTGATTCGTGAAGGAAAGATAAGACTTCTGTGTGGAGTACTTTGAGGAAGTATGAATATTGCATGGCGCTTAAGAGTCGACTTTTGAGGCTAGGATTGTTCACTGCTAGGTGTAATGTATGTAAATTATTCTGGGTGTAATGCGTTAGGGGATACGGTTGAGTGAAAGAACCTCTAGAAAGTATAGGGTAATTGCTCGAGGACTAGCAATGGATTAAGTGTGGGGCGTTGATAAGAGGCTGAATTTAGGTAATTTAGCGATTATTTATGCTCCCGTTTGATTATGTTCCCATGTCATAATGTGGTTAATTGATTAAAAATGGGCTCTAATTGTGAATTGTATACATTGCAGGATGAGGAGCCTATGTGATGCCTTAAAGAGGTGATTGGAACTACTTTAGAGCAAAAACGACCCCTCGGAGCTGAGTACGCACGAAGACGAGAAAAAAATCAAGGAATTGAGGACCTGGGCTAGCGCGCCCAGGTGCGCGCCCGCGCTAATTTAGCGCGTTCAAAACAGTAGGATTGGACAACTAGCGCCCAGGTGCGCGACCGTGCTAGTCCGAATTCCGGAAATTGTTTGTCAGGGGTATAATTGAAAATCTGGAGGAAACCCCACTTAACCTATATAAAGTCAAGCTCGCCCAAGGATTATTTATCAAGGTTTTCATAGTCTAGTGGGAGAAATAGAGAGGCAAGAGGCAAGGAGGAAAATTAACCATCAAGTTCTTCTTTTCTTCCCTTTATTTTTGCTAATTGTGCTGAAATTGAACCTTATTGTGATGAACATGAGTATGAGTGGCTAAACACCCATTGTTCTGGAGTTGTGATTTATCCATGAATATTGTTGTTTGATATTAGCTTGACCTTGATTATAATTCACCACTATATGGTTGTTTCTTCAATTCTGTGTTTAATTGCTTAATTGTCTGGCCAACAGTTAGGTTCTATTTACTATCTATGCTATGCTTGGGAAAGCCATGTTTAGATTAGAGAAGAATTGAATAGAGCATGATCTTAACCCTTAGGGGGAGCGGATTTGTGGTTAGGATAGGAATATACCTAGTCACCGTGCTTAATTAAATATCATAATCTTAATGCGTTCTTAATAGATTGATTTCATAGGAATATAGGCGTTAATCTATTGAGAATAGGTGAGTAGTACTTCGGGAGAAGGCTATGAGAGCATCTATCGATTAATTAGCAACCATGAGTGATATATGAAAGGGAGAGTTAATTAGAACACAATACGAATGGTGAATCGATCACAACCTTGGAATACTTGTCTCTACTGAATACACAACAATCAACTCGTTACTTTATAATTTAGTTAGTATTTAGAATCGTAGCATAGTATAATCATATTATTGGACTTTGCTTTTAGCTAGATTGAATAGCAAGTTTAGTGATTTAGTGAGTAGTTTATACACGTCTCTGTGGGTTCGACACTCAACTTATCATTATATTACTTGTCGACCACGTATACTTGCGTGTGCGTTTTGGAGCAACAGTCACCAACATAATTGAGACCAGTGACAAGCGCAAACTCCCTTATTGAGAAAGATAATGTTGTACCATTGACGTATATTGAAAATACATCGTCATGACTTCTTTCTAACTGCAGAACCATGAAGCACCTGAACAATTGATGTTGGACTTCACAACGCTTCATTTCAAGGAAACTTCCAAAACAAGTAGTACCCAGTTATTTGTACTGCTGTGGAGTAATTTTTTCTTTGAGGTCGGAGACTATGTCTGTGCTGGTATATGAATTGATATGCGGTGAAAAAATAGGCTGTTGTTTCACAAATAGCTTAATTTCCTGCATACAACAAGAATTACAAAAAGATTTCAGATGTCAACATCAATATATATTTCATAGTATAATTGTTCTGAATACATATAAATACAACTAAATACAATATGCATAATAAACTGGAGTAATAAATCAGTGATAGAAATAGATGTATATATATAATACATCCACATACAACAATAAAAGACATTGAAATTAGTAGAAAATAGTGAACTGATGCATAATACACCGGAGTAAGAAATCAGTGATGCACATAGATGTATATATATAATACATCCACATACAACAATAAAAGACATTGCAATTAGTACAAAACAGTGAAGGGAACTTTGAAAATCCTTATTAATACAACTATATATAATATGAAAAGGTCAGTGTAGTAAGTACAAAATACCGTGAATGTACTTTTTGAATACATCTAAGTGCATTATGCAACATACAAATCAGTGAAGCCAAAATTTGTATACATATAAATACATTTACATACACACATGCAAAATTATATGCAATAAGTACAAAATCATTAATGGAACTTTTGAATACTTCTGAATACATCTAAATACGATATGCAAAGATCATTTTGTTAAGTATAAATATAGTGAATAAAACTTCGTCGTATTATGAATACATCAACATACATATAAATCAAATCAACAAAAAAGACGAGGAAGCTATGTATCAACTATTGCACACATATATATACAATGACATACAACATTAAAAGCCCATTGATGAAGGTAATAATCAGTGTATGAGGACTCAAATACAGAGGAATACATCAAAAATTACCTTTTCATCCCGTGTATCCGAGCTTTTACTTGCAACGACCCCCTTTCCCTTGGCATATAAAGCTTCAGCCATAGGTTTTTTTCTCTTTTCCGCAACGGGAAGTGTTGTTTGTTTCAATGATTTCTCAACTTGGGCTTGTTTCAAAGTGTCATTGCATAATTTTGTTCTCTTCTCCGCTGCCATTTTTGCTGCTGAACCTGCAAATTCCAATTCCGCTTGAGTAATTTGCAAAGAGAAAGAGGGCCCATCGAAATTGAGTACTTTGGTGGCTATACCTCTGGTAACCTTCTTGTGGGATGTTGAATCAGACATTGGGGAGAAAATCTCAAGATTTCTGTTGAATACAGTAACAATGGTGAGTAGAGATATTAAATGTGAATACTGAGAATTCAATAAAGAAAAATAGCGAAATTCTAACAAGTTAAATACTTACCACAACTATTTATAGCAAAAAATAACGACAATTGAGAGATACAATGCAGATGGCGTGTATGAAATTAGGGTGGAGACTGAGAATGGGGAAGAAATAGGCGATGTGGGTAAGAGAAAATTTGAGTTTGAGCATCGGGTTTTCAGGGAATGGGGGAAGAGAATGGCTTGTATCAAAGTAGAGAGAAAGAACGTGGAGTGAGATGTTTATGTGAAATACGGTAACTATGTGAGAAATATCCGAAAAAGGAGAGAGAAAAAAAAAAGCGTATTTAGTGGCTTACTTGGAGGTAACCAAAATTAGATATTTTGCTATAAACATTAAAAGGTATCTATAGAATATATTTTTTTAAAATGGTATTTATTTAAAATAAATAAGGTGTTAACCTTTGCTATATGAGGTAAAAATTCTATCTTATATAACCGTATATATCTAGTGCATAATCTATATATACCGACCAGAAAAAATAAATAATAAATCCTAACGACTATTTATGTAAATTATTTTTGTCCTTTAATTTGTCGATACTAGTGGTACTAAAGTATTCATAGGCAAGAAGAAACTTTTTGATCATGTCATGATCCCAAACACAAGAGCAGGAAAAAACATGCCTAAATAACATCTATCTTTCCTCTTACAGATCCAGTACAGGGACCAACATTATTTGACATGGGGAAAAAAATCAGAAATAGTTAAATTTATAATTGGTAATTGAAAAATATCCACAGTTTCAAAAGTAATCGGAATTTAGCCACTTTTTATGTAAAGATAAAATCTGAACAAAAACGCCCTTAAAATTTTGAATTTTTTACATATGAGCTTCCATCATAATATGCTGGAAGTTTATAAGCAGGAGTTCCATAATCCAGCATATTATGCTAGAACTTTCCGTGTTTCAACAAAATAATGGCTATTTTTTTTTTAATAATTTTACAAGCACCGGCTATTTTCCAATTACCAATATGAAAATTGGCTAGCCCATACTTTTATCACGACATGGAGGGATGGGAAGGATTTACGCAAATGTCCCGTTTAGGCCATTATTTAGCTTTTGTCCTCATTTTAAAAAGTGTGCAAATATAGCTCTCGGGAAATTATCTTCCGCACAACATTAGCTCGGTTCTAATGTTTGCCCATCTAATTTCCAGTTTGACCGCAAAACATTAAATTGTGTACTAACATTTACAATAAAGTACAAAATTTTAGACTGTGGCCTACCATTTTTCATAAAATTTTCAATTTGATTAAGAGGAGATTATTTTACATAAAGGGACAAAATTTTCAATTTTAGACTGTGGCCTAGAAAATTTTCTATCAGTTGCAAGCGCAATAAAAAGAAGATTATTTTACATAAAGGGACAAGCGGCAAAAATTTCGCTGTAAACATAAGAGCATGAAAAAAAACATGGAAATTACATCATGTTTCACCTTATAGATCTAGTACAAGAGCAACATTATCTGATCCAGATCGCCAATAACACAAGGAAATAAATATGATTACCATTCAAAATTGAATAAACAAATAACTCTATACATGCTCGCTCTCAACGGATATGTTACACTCTAAAACAATTCTACATTCCACATGTTATACTTTAGACAATAGCACAAGTAAATAACCAAAAACCCCTTTCAATTCTGTACCCAATGATTCAAGAAATGCCAATAGTTTTCCCAAGCAACCAGAGCACCAGCGCGAGCTCTATACCAAATATGGTGTGAAGATAACTTCTGTCCAACATAAAGCCATATAGAGTAACTCCTGCTCTATTGTTCTCAAAGTATGTCACTGCAACACAAGCGACAAACCAATCATCGTTAGTTGATTCGAACGATACAATATTACAGAATTTTACTAGTACTACTGCCCATTTCTCGAAGGAAGAAATAAGCAGTATTATTCAACGTTATCACTTCGTCACTTAAAGAGATGAAGCAATGAGAAGCGAAGTACGTGTTTCAATGACACAGAAAGTGATTCCATCAAGAATAGATTAGATAGCTTCTTTGAATCTTTGATGAGTTGGACTAATATCGACAAAAATGGTGTCTAGATAGCAATTTGTTTTTGAAAGGTAAGCACAAAAACGAAGTGAAAGAAGCATACCTAGTGCCTGCCTTTTCTGGAATGAGATAGTGCTATAGGCATAAGAGGGGACAAATTGTGTATTGTCAAGCTCATCTTCTTCATCTCCAACATCGTCAGCATCAGATGATCCTTGAGAACTCACAGGGAAAACTTGGTTGCTGACTATTTGAGAAATTGGAGGAGTTTCACCCTCAACTGAATCGAAAGAGTCTATTGTTGCACACACATGCCACTTGGCTGCTAAGCATGTAACAGATTGTGCTTTATGTGTAATCCTGACTGCACTTCTCAACAGTATCAACAGCCCAGCAAGAAGGCTGACAGAACACAGCTGCATATCAAGAAGTTGAAGATGTTTATTTCAAGACAGGAGTACCGGTAATGATCCAGAAACAAAAAGGCAAAAAGACTAAGGAGGCTCTCATGTTAGAAATTTGATATGAAGTAAAAGAAAAATAAAGAAACAAAAGAAGGCTTGAGGCTTTGATATTATCGCTTTCTCTAAAAAGGAAAAATTATCCGACTTTTCGGATAACAGACAATGCTCTTCTAGGATACAATAAACCTATTACCAGTTGTCTTGAAAAGTGCCTGATTTGAAGTGCAATATTGGGGAATTGTTGCTATTCAGAATAGACATCTTCTTTCGAATTTAACTTTAAGAAATAACAAGAACAGTATTTATTATTATTACTATTACTAAGTTAAAATATAAGGAGTCTTCCTAACTTTCAAATCTATGTGAAATATGATGACAGAGTCAAGAGAGAATTGAAGCAGTTAGCAGTTAAACTTCAGTTTGTCTGATCGGCAGATTATGGCGCTGCATAACCAAAATCTGGCTATGTAGCCATTTGTTGGTTGACTATAGCGCTGCATAGCTGAATATTGGCCCTGCAGTACCATTTACTGGAACATAACTGTCGCAAGACGTTACTCTTGAAAGCTCATAACATGACACTTCATCGGTATAACAAACTGCACACCATCCCACACTAGAGGATTAAAAATTGTACATAGTTATAAATTTAGTATATTTGCTCTGTTGTTAGAAATGCTTGGACAGTGAAGTGCAGCATTAATTACTGCATACTATCAAGAAAAATATGTGATCAATGACCAAGTGCAACGGGAAGTCATATTCATTGACTCAGTTTATCAAAGAGGCATCAAACAAAGAAATGCAAGGAATTTCTTTGAAATAATTAAAAAATGAAACACAAGATCCTACATTTGACCAAAAAAAAAGAGCAGATGAGAACCCATACCGCAAGTTCGCCACTCTTGTAGATATGAAGATCAGAACTTGACCTTGTGCTCATGAAAAGGGAGGCAAATTGACTTGCTGTGATGAATACCAATGCCAACACGATAAACCTACGATACCTATGGCTAATGATCCTTAAGTGCCTCCTGATTCTGAGGTGCTCTCTCAACACTGACTCAACATCAGAATCCACATGGAAGACCTGAGCAAAATCTTGTAATCGGAGAATCTGAAGGTAACAGATCAAGCGGAAAAGGACACACACTAGGAAGAACACGGTCGTTCTATAAAGCCAGGAGCTCAGCTCCAGAATGCACGCGACAGTGTCACTCACAATGACATTACCTAAGAAAGGGATTTGGGTTCCACCTGAACTGTACCACCAAATCTTGTATATGCTTTCAGCAGCAAAACATGGCAGCACAAAAATGAATAGGATCTTCAATGATCTCTGCATATCGACAAAAGGGTCATTGTTATGTCATGTTGTTCAATCTATAATTTCACACCAATTGCAAGCTAGAAACCAAATCGCGATTAATATAGTATAATAAATATCGCCATTAGTGAATAGCAGCTCTATTTCGTTTTGTTGATCTTGAATGTGTTTTATTAGTGGATAATGATTTGGAAGAACTGATTTTAGGATTATTATGAGAGATTTCTTTTAAAAATTAATAGGATCACAGCATTGAAGATATTAACTTTCATAAAAGAGGTCACCGAAACACGGTTTATTTCACCAGTTTTACAACACAACAATGATTAACTAGTATGATCAGTTATACTATCAGCAAAGATTTGTCCTTTCTTTTTTTAGGAAAAATAAAAACAGTAATGATTTTTCCTTTTTACAACAAATTTATTCTAGAAGAAAGTTATGATTTTGAGGCCTCTTACCATGGCAGAACCAGGATTAGGATTTTCACACCAAGGGGTGTCGAAATATAAAAAATCAAATATACCGAAATGTTAAAGAAAGTCAACATATAGTAAATATACATTAAAAAAAAATATCTAGCAATACAGTGTAATTTCCCGGCGAAGGGGTGTCGATACCCCTCGGTTGAATGTGGCTCCGCCACTGGCCTCTTAGTTACACAATCATTTGGAGCGTTTACATCCCATCAATTCAGTCACTTCCAATAGCATAATCTGTTTCATTATAATACTAGAAGCGAAAAATTTAAAGCCACAACAACAACAACATATCCAGTATATTTCACAAGTGGGGTTTGAGAGGATAGTATGTATGCAGACCTTACCCTACATTGTGGTAGAGAGGATATTTTCGAAAGACCCTCGGCTCAGGTAAGCATAATAAGCATCAGTGGTTAGATATATTAAAAGGAAAAAAGATTTAGAAAGAGAGATCATGTCAATCACTAGTGGGTAGATATATTTGGGGTAAAAATTCAATCTATAGTTAAGTTTGTTAAAATTTAATACGGAAACAGGGGATCCCTCTGCGTTTTAGACTGTCAAATCAACAACATATTCATAATCTGATTGTCAAAATCTGTCATTTTTCAGCAAATTTACAGAAAGCAAATCAGCTAATTGAGGAAAAAAGATTTTAAAGCGAGAGAATGATGAGAAAGAGAAAACGCACATGGAGCTGTTGCATGTATCCTTTTCTGACAGTCTCACTCTCATCACAAAGCTTATCAAGGAACAAGAACCTACGCAGCCCAAATTTCTTAACAAACCCAGAAAGACATATGAAGGAGAGAGCAGCAACGCCACTGAGAGACAACTGAACAACGTTGTCATAAGGCCGATCGTGAGTGGCATCACAATCGGCACAAGCCAAAAGGAAATGGGAGAGACAAGGTACAACAATTGTAAAAACTATGAAAACAAACCAAGAAAGACAAGTAGACCAAGTATCAGATTGATCTACACACATCCACTTTAGCCATCTCCTAAAACTGCGTAATTCATCGTACGCATGAGATTTGCTACGGTTATATGCTATACTTTTGGGCAGTAAAGATTGGCTTTGGGTTGCGTCTCCCATTGATGAAAATTAGAGAGAGATTTATTACAGAGCTAGCGCCGGAATTGGCGGGTCTGGTCAGAAGTTTGATGATGTTTTATGGAGTTGAACTAATGGGAGAGAAATTAAAGGCTTATATAGGGTTTGGGGGGGGGGGGTCCGAAGTGGTGGGGTACACTTGATATAGAGATACTATACAACAGTACAGCTGAGAGTAATTTTGGAAACTAGCGAGAAATCTGAAATGATTGATCAAGATTCCGCCACTATAGATGCTTTGTTGTGGTTTCGAACAATTTTTGTGTCGATTTTGACTTTTTTTTTTTTTTTTTTTTAATGTCAAGTTTGAACTATGTTCAATTTATATAGAGATAAGTATAGTGTGAATTCATAGAGGCCATTCTAACTTGCTTGAAATTAAAGTTTACTGTTACTCCCTCTGTTCCAGTTTATGTGAACCTATTTCCTTTTTGGTCCGTACAAAAAAGAATGACCCCTTTTTTAATTTGGTAACAATTTAGCTTAAACTTATAATTCTACCCTTAATGAGAAGCTTTTATAACCACACAAATACTCTGGGCCTTTTCTTGACTTGTTTAGCACCACAAATTCCAAAAGTCTTATTTTTTCTTAAACTCTGTTCCCAGTCAAACAGGTTCACATAAATTGGAACGGAGGGAGTACTATTTTCCTGGTTTTAGTATTTAGATGTAGTTGTTGAATAAAATCCCTTTTTAAATGTATCTGTGAGTCTTTTACTTTAGACGTCATTATCACTATTTTTTAGTAGAAAATATATATGTTATATTGGCTTATGGTAGGGTAAAATCTTTGGAAGGTGTATATAATGTAAAATTATTTATGATATTAGTGTATATATAAATCGATTAGAATTGGCTGTATTTGCTTTCATTTCCTTTTATTTTTATTTAAAAAAAAAAAGCGGAGAATTAGAATTTTTTTTTTTCTGTGTGTGTAATGTTTTGCAGTCAATGGTAAGTTTATGGGTTTGGAATAAAGTAATGTATCAATAATAAAGTGTAAAATAAAGCAATTACGGGAGGAAGGTATCCTTTTGTCGGGAAAAGTTTCCAACGCGCGTACATGTTAGATGTTACTAGATTTATTCTGGATTCTTGCAATCGATCTACGTTACCTGAACTGTCTGATTGGTTTCAATCAAATTAATCTTATGTTCAGAGTTCTTATAATTGTGTTGCAAATATTTGTTTGCCAAAAATAATGTCATTTTCAGATTAGGAAAAACAATATTTCGTGCTAGTAAATTTCGGAAGCATGAGTTGGGGAAAGATGAGTGGTGACAGACTGACAGTGAAGTCAATGGAGCTTTAAGCTAAAAATAACACTATCTTTTACTCATCAAGGAAGAACTTCCTCACCTAAACCCCCCTAGGCGTATGTGACATAAAACTTGCACTTTTTAAAATTATCAATTTGCTTGATCAAGAGGCTAGTTAATTAAACATTAATTCCTTCGACCCAAAACGAGTATGTCTCAGTCAAATCAATTTGGCACTAAATAAGTGAACAATAATATATCTTGTGTAATTTCACAAGTGGATTTGGGGAGAAAGTGTGTACGCATATTTTACCTCTGCTTTGTAAAAGCGGAAAGGTTACTTTCGATAGACCCTCGGCTCAACAAAAACATAATCAATAGTTTAAAAAAAATACGGTAGTAGAAAAAAGCCATGAAAAAGAAAATAGTAACAACAACAAGATAGTAAGAAAACCGACGCAGAAGAACTATTAGGTAGTAATAGAAGTCTAAGAATAAGGAAATATAAGAATAATACGAGTACTACTAGTAAGGGAAAGAAATATGCTCGACTACCTACTAACCTTCTATCCTAATTCTAGACCTCCCCAACTTCATATCAAAAGTCATGTTCCCATTAAGCTAAATATGAGTCGTGTGTTATCTAATTATTTCTCTCCCAATACTTTTGCGGCCTACTTAGACCCACCATTGACGGCCTCTCACACCTTCTCACTGGGCATCTGTGCATCTCCTCTTCACATGCTTGAATCATCTCAGTCTCGCTTCCCGCATTTTGTCCACCATAGAGGCCACTCTCACCTTGTCCAGAATATCTTCATTCCTGTTTGACTAAAAAGTGTTAAGCTTTTTGTTAAACTAATTAATGATGAAATAGAGGGTGATTCCTAGTTAAACATAATAAATTCTAGATCTAACATTGGAGGATATCAGCGGGATGAACAGTGTTTGAATATAATAAATATCGGGTATGTGTTCGATGATTGTCAATGAATGTTATAGCAAGAACATGCAATAAATCTAGATAATGGCATTAAATGTAATAAGAAAGAATTTATCACCCAAATATCAAATGACTTGAATGATTCTTCCTCCTGACATCAACGTGGAATGATGGAAAGTGAGGATGGATAAGGAATCTTTGGATCTAGTAAACAAAGAATGAATCACGTATGTTGAGCAAAGTAGTCAGTGAACAAGACAATTTTTGTAATATTCTTTATAGTCAACTCTTTACAAAGTGCTCTTATCAAGAAGTGAGGATCCCCTTTTGTTCTTTATCTCTTCCTATTTATAAGGGATCTCCCTAAGAAATCCTAAAAAGTACAACATAAAGAATATCCAATGGAATATTCCTTATGTCAATTTCTAAACCTATCCTACTGTTGCTTCTTTACTCCCTTTACTTGACATCGGCAATACTCTTTCTTAAGACGACTCTTCGTCATTATGTTGTGGTCGGCTCTATCCTCGACCATGTTTAATTGCAGTCGTCAAGCTGCCCAAATTTAGACCAATACAGTTAGTCCCTCCGCTTGTTGAGGTCGTGATCTTGCACGTCCTCAGTGAGCGGATCCGGTCTGCAACCGTTTAGAAGAAATTTGGTCGTGTTTATTGAATAGAACGGGCCGATGTCGAGAAAATGGCATGGTCAGTGGGGCTGCGGTTGGCGTGGCTAACGTGGGGTGACGTCATGGCCACGCGCGCCATCATTATGCGTCTTCCCAATGCAGCATTTGTGCTTCGATTTTGGTGCCATTGACTGTCCTTTGCTTCGATTCTGGTGTCACCCAACCCTATAAATAGATGGGGGGGGGGGGTTTCTATTTTCGAAAATTTTCATCATTTCTCATTTCGCATGTGTATTGTTCTTCTTTGATCTTCTTCTCCGCTCTCCGCTTCCAATTTCCCGCAGTCTCTTCAATTCCAGTCCCTGACTTCTTACCTAGTTGATATCTTCTTCTTTAGACTTTGTTGCATACGTTTCACTACATGTCAAAATCCCTTCATATTCACGACGAGGTCTCCGATGCCACTCCTCTATCGGTGGCCCTTCCTCTCGGCGGTGAGGTATTCATGGTTGAAGAGGAGGAAAGCTTCCCCACTGTTGAGGAGATAGTCCCCAAGAACCCTTTGGTTAGACATGACTTCCCGAAGGAACCCGCTCCTGCTCCTGCTCCGAAGCTTTCTGAGACGGGACCGCCTCACATAGCCGACCTCCGATCTAAATATCGCATTCCTCCTCACGTCGAAATTGTTCCGGCCGGGGGTGACATCGTAGAGGTTCTACGTTTATCCGTTCTTTATTGGTTATTCTCTTCCTCTCCCCCCATTAGCAGAGGAGTTTTGTCAATTTACAATGTCTGTCCGGCGCAACTCTCCTCTTATTTGTACAAAGTTTATCTGATGATGGCGAAGTATGCAGAGTTGGACAGCTGTGAGCTCAATGTTCGCCACCTGCTGCATCTATTTTCGCCTAGCTTTTATAGAGGTACATTGATACACCTACGACATCGTGGGGTCAAAAGGTTGGTGGTCGGGATGGATGATAAGACGAATCGGGGGTTCTGGCACAAGTACTTCTTCATCAAGACCGAGCACCTGGTGGAGAACCTGACTGGGTTTCCCGAGCAGTGAAACTATAATCGTAATTATCATATCACATGCTCGTTATTTTCTTCCGTTCTTTCATTTTTGACTTATTCGCGGCTTCCTTGTTTTTAGCTGAGAGACATGCACCTTCTCCCGACTTCGATATTGAAGATTGGGTGACTCGCGTGTTACCCCACACCGTGGGAATTCGGGATTGGGCGTCCTTCCACAAGCGTTTTGGACCCAAAACCCCGTCCGCTAAGTGTTATTTCTACCTCAACCTATTGCTGTTACTATCGCTCTTTGATGCGACCTCCCTTTGGTGCCAGGTCGGCGAGTTCCCAAAAAGACGAAGGCTCCAGTGCCTGCGTTTTGCCAAGATATCGCGTCGGCCGGAATGCAATTTGCCTTAGGTGAGTCTGCTCGAGGAGGTCGGACTCAAGTTCCGCCAATGCGGGACTCCGCCCCTCAAATTGTTGCCGTATAGGATGAGATCTCTTCTCAGCCTATCCTTCACCTTGTAGACGAGTCATCTAATGGCGAAGAGACATCGTTGAGGAAAAGACGAAGGGTGGAGATCGGGAAGGCCATTGTCGCTGACGTTGAGCCGGAAAGATTCATTTCTTAGAAGCGGAACCTATGCTTACACTAGACGTTGAGGCCGTTTCTACGGCGGGTGTCGTCGTGGAGAGGAGACCCTCAGGGGTTGAGGGGATTTGTGATAGCGGAGAGCAAACACGGGCCGCAGAAGGTGGCTCATCATCGGCGGTCGGGGGAAATAGAGTTGTCCCTGCGGGGGACGATGACTCTGGCTCAGACATCGACCCTGAGGAGATACGGACCTTCATGGGGAGGACTACTCATGTGGAGATAAGGACGGAGGGTCCTAATCGGCATATAGTCATTCTCGTGGACTACAACCTCTTGTCCAACTCAGAACAGGCGGTGCCGGCCTTTGCTCCCCTGTGCGCGGCTTCCGACAATGCGATGCTACGGGCGATGAGAGATGTGGATATGTCGTTGGGTATATCTGGCATGGCCCTGCGGGTGAGTGTTTTCCCTTGTTAGGTTAAGTTTTTTTCGTATGTGTAATATGCTTACACTGACTTCTTCTCCTTTTTTTTTGCATATCAGACTCTTATTATGGGGATTGAGCGCTGTTGATACCCAATTTTTCCCTATGTATTTCAAATATGCGTGAATACCTTCAAAATAGCATATAT